TTCCTAAATGCGGGGTGGCCTCAGGCCTTCAATTTGTAAAACACAAAATATCTGCAAACACAACACAGGGAAGTGCAATAAAATGAAGTAGATCCAAGTACCATTTCGCACGCTCCTCAACAAACACTCCTGAAAACCATAGCTATGTGTTGCCTCTTTCAGTGTTAATGATAAACAGAAGTAAAGTTACAAATGAACCAAATCCTGCCTGTGCCCTGGGGCAGAAGCCTCTCTCATGCCAAGCACCTAGATTTGGAGGCTCTCTCACATTTTGTGTTTATTAGATGAGTGATTTCAATTTATTATATGAAAGAATATTCAGTTTAATAATATACTAAAGAAACAGGTTTGAATAGAAAAATTTGAGTCTGCTTAAAAATGTCAGTAAGGAACCTGCCTTATGAGGCGCTATAGCTTCAGTTGGATTACAAAGAGAGAGAACATTAGGTTGGTAAGTGGGGAAGTACGGAGTCTAGAAGAGGGCACGGCGGGCTGTTTCTCCGTCCGTGCCATTGCTGGAGCAGGTCTTCAGCGACAACACAAAGGCATGCTCCAGCCCTGACGCCCCCTCTGTCAGATGCTCTCTGGGCATGCCCTGGACGGCACAGAGGAGCGACTGGCATTTCAGGACACAAGACTGGGGCTCTTGATGACAGCCGCATCCTGGCACCGTCCCCTCACTGCAGACTCGTACAGTATAACCGGAGATTCAAGAAACTTCTAGTCTAGCCTCTCATCAAGGATCTGACCTGCACTGTTTTCAATCAAGTATTGTGTAGTTCCTGTTGGAAGAAGAGATCAATTCTACAGATGCTCTGGGGCTGAGGACTTCTCCTGATCCAACATCCTTTCCCCTACTGTTGTTCTGAAATGGGATGTTCGAAATGCCTATTCAGGAGCCTCAGTTCTGTATAGATTCACAGGGATGGCCACCTTGCTTACATTTCACTACTTGGAATCTTTGAAGAGACTTGTAAATGGTGTGTATCACGCCAATATCTGCAATAATAAGAGCACGGG